TATTAGTTGAAAGTTAGACTTTCTGCCTAAAACCGTCTGTGAGGCGCCATCTGCTGGCGACCTGTATTACTACATTTGAATTTTGAATCTGGCGCCAACACTGGCGCGGCAGCAAGACCTGACGTCTGAAGCAAGACCTCACGTCAGCAGCCCCCCGCCCAGAGCAATGTAAACGGCCCAGTCTCGTTCACGCCCCCTTTAGTCCTCCAGGCCACGCCCATTTAGAGGAAGATTTGAACAGGAAATGTGAGTGACGTAAGCTCCGAGGAGCGGGGGTGAGAACCACTTTAAACATGGCTGAAATACCTGAATAGATGTATTTATTTAGCATTGAATAATTATAACTGTGTGATACGTTTTCTACTTTCTGTTGCTTCAGAACCAACTCAGCATCAAGTTATTTACAGAAATTATATAAAATATAACAAAGTGAATGATAAGAATGCAGCACTTTTCTTCAGCACTTTTCTGGACAGTCAAAGACACTACATATGTTTTAATTCACTCCATACACTACTGTAGCCACAGCTGCCCTGGGGCACACACCAGACTCATTCTAATGTGGGGGAAGTGTCTTGCCTAAGGACACGGCCACAGTCTGGCACTTTACAGCCGCAGCCGCCCCACTGTGGCACCAGGTTTCAAATCAATTTCAATTAATTTTTGTATCGCCCCAAAACCACAGCAGTAGTTTTCTTGGAGGACTTTACAAAACTGTCGATTCGCCAACAACAGATCAGAGAATCACTTCAAACACAGGACATGCAATGATAAAACACATGGAGACACTGGTCCAAAAGGAGCAGAGACCAATGACCATAACTGTAGAAGGAGTGTGACGATATATCAATTTTTTGATATATCGCGATCAACTATTGATATGCATTTGCCAAGTATCAATTTTTTTCATAAAAACCAAAACAAAATTGTATCAATACTCAATATATGGCTACATTACACATCTCCATTCCATTTATCATGAAATAAAGTGTATTTTTTCACTTTAGTGTATTTTTTTACTTTAGTGTATTTTTTTACTAAAGTGTATTTTTCACCTCGATAATCGTTATCGTGATATAATCGTTATCGTGAGCTTTGTATCACGTATCGTATCGTATCATGAGGTACCCTTAGGTTACCACCCCTAAAATGTAGGTAAAGTCCATAAATGTCAGAAGTCTCCCATCACATCACTGACCAGGCCCTGCCCTGCTTAGCTTCATAATCTGACAGGATCTGGCTTTCATCTCCAGGTGTTGCCATGACGAACTAATGTACACACAAATAAGGAAGTAACTCAAAACTTACTTAGACACATCCTGAATTATCCAAGTCATTTTATTAGTATTTGATTATTTATCTACTGTTCAATCACACCACATTGATCCTTACCTGTGTCTGCCAACAGGGGGCGCCACAGAGCACTCACGTCTGTAACTGCTAACAATAGACTCTTATTCTCCCTGTGGTAAAAAGCTTCTCACAAATGTTCCATAAAAACATCCAAAACAAATTGAGTTTCAGTTTTAATGTTTGCTTGAAGCCGGGAGTTAATCCAGAGAAATACATCTTTCAAATCCCTTTTTAAACTTTTACATTTACAACCACAAGTTTGGAGGAAGTAGGAAGTAGATCAGGCTAATTATGGCGGCAGCGGCTAACGAGCTAACAAGCTTCCTCTGTCGTAAACGTGTGAGCGCCGCCGTGAAATATTAATGACAGCAGAGTGGACGGGCAGACAGGCTCCGGATGGGTGTGTGTGTGTGTGTGTGTGTGTGTGAGCGTGAGTGTGTGTGAGAGTGTGAGTGTGTGTGCGTGTGCGTGTGTGTGCATGTGCGTGTGTGTGTGTGTGTGTGTGTGTGAGCGTGAGTGTGTGCGTGTGTGTGTGTGCGTGTGAGCGTGAGTGTGTGCGTGTGTGTGTGTGAGTGTGTGCGTGTGTGTGAGAGTGTGTGTGTGTGTGTGTGTGTGCGTGTGTGCGCGTGCGTGTGCGTGTGTGCGTGTGCGTGTGTGCGCGTGCGTGTGCGTGTGCGTGTGTGTGTGTGCGCGTGCGTGTGTGTGTGCGTGTGCGTGTGTGTGCGTGCGTGAGTGTGTGTATATATATATACTGTAAGTGCATCAGAACAATATACAAAAGTATTTCCATAAAAGGAATGTAAATATTATAATTATTTATTCATGTATAATTTCTTCTTGATTTAATAAAATCAGTGAACTTTAGCTAAATTTAACCAAAAAACCATGTGATTATTTTATTAAAAGCAGTCGTAACTCAGTCCAAGTGTCCACAGTTCATGTTCTATATTTAATAATCTACAACCATTATTAGATTTTATAATTATATATATTAACACTTATATTAATGTTATGTTAATTCAGCCTGGTGTTATTTTGTAAATGCTTTTTAAACTTAAATTTTCCAATGTTTTATTGTGAGTTGATCCTTTGTGGACCCCAGACTGGCGACAAACTAATGAGGATCCAAATTAGTAAATAAATCTCTGTTGCGTGACATTGGTGGGTGATGTCACATGATCCTGAAGAAGAATCAGACACAGTTAAATATTTCACTGAATAAACGACAGAAAAACTTTTGGGATTTGCAAAACTATTCATTCTCATTGTCCCCGAGTGTAAACCATCGCCTCCAGAGGTTTCCTGACGACTGACGAGAGTCCATCAGAGTCTGATCTAATCTCAGTCAGATTAAGGATCATCTGTGAGGCCCCCAGAGGTCAGAGGTCGGAGGTCAGAGGGCAGATTCAAACATGTCCCATTCTCTGAACATCTCACAGACACTGATTCTGATTCATCTGGGAAGAGTACGACACCAACAAGACATGGTTCTGTGCCCAAAACACACCTCTCACTCACTGATACAGATGCACACACGAGGCCAATGGTCACTCTGGAGGAGCAGCACGTACGGCTCTTCTGGGGGAATCTGTGCTTGGAGCAAAGTGGTGAAGAGAAAGTGTTGGAATAACAGAGACTAAAGCAGAGGTTTAAAGGGAAAAGGAAACTCTCCGTCAATCACATTTTAAGCTCTGCCCTTTCATATCGTGCAGCAACCCTCCTCCTCCCAGTCACCTCCTCATCCGTCAGATCAACACAGAAGTGGGCGGAGCTTTGATGCTAACGCCGGTACTTCTGTAGCAACACTTTTACAGTTATAGAAGAAACTCAGGGTGAAGACATATGTTCACAAGCACTGACCCGCGTCCTCAGCTCTGGTTTAGTCCTGGTTTAGCTCCTGTTTTAGTGGTTTTAAAGCTCTTTTATGTGGAGCAAGGATGTTCATGTCTTGCTTTCGCTGGTGGCAGTGTCAGGCTGTGTGGATGCTTCTCTTCAGCAGGGACAGGGAACAGTGTCAGCAGCGTCTGGATATTGACTCTCAGTGAAACAGGTGAAACTCACACACTTAGAATTTCGTTCAATCTGTAAATGTGTGGTCATAAGGAAGTAAGTACGTCATCTTTAATCAGTGGTCCCAACATCAGTCAGGAGCAGTGGTCGCCGTAGTGACAGAGCCCGGGAACCACCTCCAGATGTTGATGCTCGGCTTGGTCAGGACCAGAGCTGGAGGATTTTGTTTTACCTGCTCAGAAAGGCCCTGTTCCGACTGGGCCTCCTCGCTGAGAAGCGGGAGTGCTGACCACAGCCACCTTGTCGCTGAGATAGTGTAGAAAAGTCCATAAGGTATGATCCTAAATGTAAATGTAAAGGTGCACTTTTTTGATCCCTGTAAGTAAATGTATCCTCTGCATTTGACCCATCCTGATGCCGCTAAGGCTTACGTCAGGAGCAGTGGTCGCCGTAGTAACAGCGCCCGGGAACCCATCTCCAGATGTTGATGCTTGGTCAGGACCAGAGCTGGAGGATTTTACCTAGTGAGCATGTTTTTAGTGGTAGAGGAAACTGGAGTACCCGGAGGAAACCTACGCAGACACGGGGAGAATATCCAAACTCCACTCAGAAAGACCCTGTTACGATCGGGATTCAAACCCAGGACCTTCTTACTGAGAGAGGGCTAACCACTCAGCCACTGTTCTGCCCAGACATAGAAAGGTCCATGAGGTATGAACACTTTTGCATGGTGCTGTAGACACTCACATATGAAGGTATTTCACAGTCCTTCTATGTAGTGATGGTCCAGGCCGGTCCAGGCAGGTCCAGGCCGCCTCAGCCGGAGCGGGGCAGGGGTCAGAGGTCGCGGGGCCTGGACACAGACCTCAGAGGCTGCACAGATGTCCCACACTTATACGTCTTCATTATTTGTCAGGTTGAAGTGAATTATATGGACTCAGAACAGGACTTTCACTCACAGCTACATCTGTGTCGGGTCAAAGGCTAAAACTCTAAACTCTGACTTTGGAACTTTAATATAGATTTAAAACCTTTTAGCGTCTTTCAGAAACAAATGTGAGAAAAGGATGAAAATGTGCTTCTGTCTGTTCAGATTGGGTGCTTTCAGATCCCAGTTTCCTCCAGGTGCTCCAGTTTCCTCAATCACTACAAACTTCTAGAATTGGCAAAAACCACAACAATGGAACAGTTCCTGGTCCATTGTATTGTTACGTGTCAAAGGCTGTTTCTTCTGGTTTGAAAAATCTGTGAAATAAACTGAAGGTTCTGAGTGCAGCAGGTCACAGCTCAAACAATGACTCACAGGGCTCTGTATCACAGGGCTCAGCAAAACAAAGACAGTAGGAGTATATATGTGTATGTATGTGTAGATAGATCAGTGTATTTATGTATATATGTATGTGCTGGTGTTTGTATGTACCGTATGTGTATGGATCAATTTGAAAGTGAAATTGATACTGTGATACCAGACAAGTGAAAATATACTGTCTGGTAAAAAAATAAATAATAATAAAAAAAAATAAAAAAAATAAACAAATCTTAAACTGTGGTTGACCTGTCAGCTGTGGAGTATGTGCAGGTCTGTCTCAGGGCTTTGGTGCTGCACTGGTGCCTGCTGCGACAGGATTGGCTGCAGGTCACTGTGCCGTGTGGTGATTGGCTGGAGTCTCTGTGCTGCGTGGTGATTGGCTGGAGTCTCTGTGCTGCGTGGTGATTGGCTGGAGTCGCTGTGCTGCATGGTGATTGGCTGGAGTCACTGTGCTGTGTGGTGATTGGCTGGAGTCTCTGTGCTGCGTGGTGATTGGCTGGAGTCGCTGTGCTGCGTGGTGATTGGCTGGAGTCTCTGTGCTGCATGGTGATTGGCTGGAGTCACTGTGCTGTGTGGTGATTGGCTGGAGTCGCTGTGCTGCGTGGTGATTGGCTGGAGTCTCTGTGCTGCATGGGGATTGGCTGGAGTCTCTGTGCTGCATGGTGATTGGCTGGAGTCTCTGTGCTGCGTGGTGATTGGCTGGAGTCGCTGTGCTGCGTGGTGATTGGCTGGAGTCGCTGTGCTGCGTGGTGATTGGCTGGAGTCGCTGTGCTGCGTGGTGATTGGCTGGAGTCACTGTGCTGCGTGGTGATTGGCTGGAGTCACTGTGCTGTGTGGTGATTGGCTCACAGATGTAAATATGACATTCACAAGGAATTTATTAAATTGTTCTTCCTCTTTGGTGTGTGCCGTCTTGCACAGTTTTTCCAAAGTGGTTTTACTGCAAATGGTAAATAAATCCTTCTTCTTGTATCTTAGGTCTCACACACACAGATCTGACCGCTGTGTGACCTGGGCCTGGGTCAGAGCCGGGTCAGGGGTCAGAGGTCAGACCCTCGGAGCACCCTCTGCACTTCCTCCTCCCGTCGCCACGACAACGGCCGCCATCTCGTGGAGCGGCGGCGGCGGAGTTGAGCTTGAGGTCAGGGCCGGGGTCGTTCTGAGGTGACGGCTCTTCCCAGCAGCCAATGAGAGCAGGGCGCCATGTTGGGACGGTTAAAGGCTGGAGATGATAATGGGGTTCAAAGCCCGGTCGCCAGATACAATCCAATATATCTGCACAATGGGCCAAAATAAATACTATTGAGTTTGTGTCGTTTCAAACCTGTTCCTTAAACTGATCTCACGGAGAGTTTAGAGAAGACGAAATGAAAGAGTCGATAAGGGACATTTATTTATTTATGTGGAGAACGTTTTAAAGCTCATGGACCTGTACTCTGCTCTACTCTACTCTGCTCTGCTCTGCTCTACTCTACTCTACTCTACTCTACTCTACTCTACTCTACTCTACTCTACTCTGCTCTCCTCTGCTCTGCTCTGCTCTACTCTGCTCTACTCTACTCTACTCTACTCTACTCTACTCTGCTCTGCTCTGCTCTGCTCTGCTCTCTACTCTGCTCTACTCTACTCTACTCAACTCTGCTCTACACTACTCTACTCTACTCTACTCTACTCTACCCTACTCTACTCTGCTCTACACTACTCTACTCTACTCTGCTCTGCTCTGCTCTGCTCTGCTCTGCTCTACACTACTCTGCTCTACTCTACTCTACTCAACTCTGCTCTACACTACTCTACTCTACTCTACTCTACTCTACCCTACTCTACTCTGCTCTACTCTACTCTACTCTACTCTGCTCTGCTCTGCTCTGCTCTGCTCTGCTCTACTCTACTCTACTCTACTCTACTCTACTCTACTCTCCTGTACTCTACTTTGCTCTGCTCTGCTCTACTCTACTCTACTCTACTCTACCCTACCCTACCCTCCCCTCCCCACCTGCGTGTGTGTGTGTGTGTGTGCCTGTCTGTGTGCGTGTGTTTATGCGTATGTGTGTGTGTGTGTCTGTGTGTGTGTGTGTGTCTGTCTGTGTGTGTGTGTCTGTGCGTGTGTGTGTGTCTAGGTGTGTATGTGTGTGTGTCTGACTGTGTGTGTGTGTGTGTGTGTGTGTGTGTGTGTGTGTGTGTGTGTGTGTGTGTGTGTGTGAAAAAGGCTTGATGCTGATAACACAGAAATAAAAATAGATGTAACTTTTCTCAGACCTCCATTTTGAATCACTGAGACTCCATCGGACTCTTCTCCCTCTCTGCTCATGTTCCAGCGGTGGATCGGCTTTAACCAAATCACTCCGAACAGTACTTACAGCAGCAGCAGCAGCAGCAATAAAAGTAGCAATAATATCTTTCTCTCACCGTCTTATCGCCGCTACAGCCCTTCGGAGAGCGCGGCCATAATAACCTGACCATTTCATCCATCTCCCTCTGCTTATAAAGACACTCTCGCAGATTAGCACCGCCGCTCTGACTAGCACCGCTACCATGACTAGCATCGCTACCATGACTAGCACCGCTACCATGACTAGCACCGCTACCATGACTAGCACTGCTACCATGACTAGCACCGCTACCATGACTAGCACTGCTACCATGACTAGCATTGCTACCATGACTAGCACAGCTTCTTGACTTGTCCCGCCGCTCCGACTAGCACCTAGCACCACTCCAACTAGCACTGCTTCTCCGACTAGCACCGCCACTTCGACAACCACCGACGCTCAGACCAGCACCGCAATCCTGACTAGCCCCTCTGCTCCGACTATCACCGCTACCATGACTAGCATTGCCAACTATCACCACCGCTCAGACTAGCACCAGCACTTACACTAGCAATGCTGCCATAACTAGCACTGCTGCTCTCTGGGATAAATACATAGACATTAAAAAGACGGTGAAATAGCAACGGGCTTCAATGCTCTCATTACTTTCATTGGCCTTGTTCGCCTGTTAAACCAGTACGCTTCATATGCATCTGTGGGGACCTGAGGGAGGGTGTGTGCGTGTGTGTGTTTCAGTGTGTGTTTGTGTATTTGTGTGTATGTGTGTGTGTTTGTGAAGCAGAGCAGATGTTACTCTGATAATTACATATTCCGCAGAGAAACCAAATGGACCTAATGAAGAAAAGACAAAGGGTGACTGCTGTGTGCGCGTCCCAAACTGAGGTGTGCGTACTGACTTAATGATCCGCAGATGGTCCGTGCTGAGGATCTTCTCTTCTTCCTTTTTATTTCCTTCATTGAAATCACACACGGAGGTTTTTTATCTGTAGTTAACACTCACACAGTTACAGGTGAAGCTCCAGCTAGACAATCGTTCAACAGACGTTCATTTATTTCTGTAATTTAACTGAAAATGTTTAACTAAAATATGAGTCCAAACCGAGGCCCGAGGGCCAGCTGCGGCCTGCTGTGACACTCTATGGGTCTGTTGTCATTGCATTTCCTGTTGGATCTGTTTGATTCTCTAGTCTGTGTTGGTGAATCCACAACTTTGTAAAGTCCTCAGAGATAAACTACTGTTGTGATTTAGGGCGATACACAAATAAATAGTGTCTTCCTCACAAACCGAGACGAGGGGGCCTTCCTCCTGTCGCACACACCCTCCTCCAGACAGAGTGGGCGTGGTCAGTCTGAGCGACCTGTCAATCAGCCTGACCCCGCCTACTCAGGAAGTAACAACAGCCGATGAGTGACATGTAAGGACTACTGCTGTTGTAAACTGTAAAACTAAATAAAAATCTGAACTGTAATAATAATAATAAATGGAATTGAAATAGAATGGTTGTGGGCTCCTTCCGCAGTTCATGGTGTCATCCAGCCAACTTCAGCCGCGTGTTATCGTGTGGTGAAGCTCAGACTTGTGTGTGTTCTGACTCCTGTGATTCAGTCTCATTTTAAATTTAGAAACAGGTCGATTCCAGTTTTACAGTCTGTGCTGTCAGTCTCTGGAGTCTGGTGAACGAAACGATGGTTTATGAATCTGCACGAGAACTTTGGTCGGGAAAGTGCTGTGTACTTCTTTATCTGCACTTTAGTCATGTACTCTGTTGTTTATAGTGTGAATACTGCTTTAACTGAGTCTTTTACTGTACAGTGGTGTGATTCTGATGGGACTGTGATGTTGGGGCTTGATCTGGGACAAAACAATTGAACCTTGAACTAAAGTGGCCTCTGACTAAAATCTGGACACCCCTGATACTCTTTTCAAACTGACACATTTTTCGTTCTGATGCTGCGGTGTTTTACTCTGGGTTTTACAGCTGTGGTGAGTGGGCCTGGATGAAGCCGCAGGACAGCCCAGACATGAGCAAGGTCCCAGACGGCTCAAAAGTCTAGGTCCATGGGCGCTCCTGCAGAAGTCTAGCAAGAGTCTGCATACTCTGCTTAAGTCTCTACAACTCTGTGAAAGTCTGCATACTCTGCTTAAGTCTCTACAACTCTGTGAAAGTCTGCATACTCTGCTTAAGTCTCTACAACTCTGTGAAAGTCTGCATACTCTGCTTAAGTCTCTACAATTCTGTGAAAGTCTCCACAACTCTGCTTAAGTCTCCACAACTCTGCTGAAGTCTCTACAACTCTGCTTAAGTCTCTACAACTCTGCTAAAGTCTCTACAACTCTGCTTAAGTCTCTACAACTCTGCTGAAGTCTCCACAACTCTGCTTAAGTCTCTACAACTCTGCTGAAGTCTCCACAACTCTGCTTAAGTCTCAACAACTCTGCTTAAGTCTCTACAACTCTGCTAAAGTCTCTACAACTCTGCTGAAGTCTCCACAACTCTGCTTAAGTCTCTACAACTCTGCTAAAGTCTCTACAACTCTGCTAAAGTCTCTACAACTCTGCTTAAGTCTCTACAACTCTGCTAAAGTCTCTACAACTCTGCTGAAGTCTCCACAACTCTGCTTAAGTCTCTACAACTCTGCTAAAGTCTCTACAACTCTGCTAAAGTCTCTACAACTCTGCTTAAGTCTCTACAACTCTGCTAAAGTCTCTACAACTCTGCTAAAGTCTCCACAACTCTGCTAACGTCTCCACAATTCTGCTTAAGTCTCTACAACTCTGCTTATGTCTCTACAACTCTGCTTAAGTCTCTACAACTCTGCTTATGTCTCTACAACTCTGCTAAAGTCTCCACAACTCTGCTAAAGTCTCTACAACTCTGCTAAAGTCTCTACAACTCTGCTAAAGTCTCATTGTCACAGAGAAGGATGGCGCTTACATAGGCCTTAGAACCTTTTTCACCCAGAGAGCTACTTTCCCGGGAGGACAAAGGTAGAGAGCTACTCCTTTAAAAGCCGCCCTAGGGAAAAAAAAATTGATATATTGGTGTGAAAGAGCCTGATATTAGGTACAGTCATTATTTATCTTTGCATATTTGTTACTAGTGCTACAAAGTCAGTGCATTTACAATAATAAATATGAATAATGAATAATACAGTCTGAAGTATTGAGTATATTATTTGATTTGTTCATTTCTAAATCCTTTGGCGAGCTACAGGTTGGAGACCCCTGCCTTAGAAGATGACGTACACACATAGACTTTGGAAACATGCCATAGCAGAAGGAACAGGCCTAACACATGGCTTATTCACAGACCAAAGTCCAATGTATGAGATAGTGCTGTATCTATTGACTGCACGTGGATGCCTCTGTAAGCAGTTTTAAAGTTAGCAGTGTTAGTTTGTTTGAAACTCCATGAAACAGTGTCTATATTAATTAGCAAGCAATAAAATGTAGATATTCACAGGACCCAGCAGTTTGGATAAGTATTATTACATACATAGTTCCATTGTTTGTGCTTTAAAAGTGAGGTAACCCAGCTTTAATCAAGTATATAAGGTCAGAAATCTAGGGGTAATACTGGACTCAGACTTAAATTTTAATAGCCACATCAAATCAGTAACATCAGCAGCTTTTTACCATCTAAAAAACATTCCCAGGATCAAAAACATAGTGTCTAAAGCAGACTTGGAGATTCTTATCCATGCATTTGTCTCCAGTAGGTTAGACTACTGCAATGGCCTGCTCACAGGTCTGTCCAAACAGGCTGTAAAACAGCTGCAGTACATTCAAAATGCAGCAGCTCGAGTCCTGACTAGAACCAGGAAATACGACCATATTAGTCCTGACTAGAACCAGGAAGTACGATCACATTAGTCCTGACTAGAACCAGGAAGTACGACCACATTAGTCCTGACTAGAACCAGGAAGTACGACCACATTAGTCCTGACTAGAACCAGGAAGTACGACCATATTAGTCCAGTCCTCAGGTCTCTGCACTGGCTTCCTGTGGCTCAGAGAATAGACTTTAAAACAGCTCTGCTTGTTACAAGTCTCTCCATGGCCTCGCACCAAAATATATTACTGACATGTTAGTCCCATATGAACCAGCCCGGACTCTGAGGAGCACAGGGACTGGACTCCTGTTAGTGCCCAGAGTCAGAACTAAACACGGGGAGGCTGCTTTTCAGATTCATGCTGCTAAAATCTGGAACAGTCTTCCTGAAGATATGAGACAGGCCTCCTCTCTGACAATGTTTAAAACCAGGTTAAAGACAGTTCTGTTTAGCTGTGCTACAACTGAGGGATTTTATATTTTTATCTTTCTTTTTAATGTTCTGTGATTATTTATTTTAATGTTTTCTTGTTCAGCACTTTGAGTTGCCTTGTGTATGAATTGTGCTATACAAATAAACTTGCCTTGCCTATAATCTCGGGGCCAAAACAACTGAAGCTATTTGAAAACAAGCTTCACATCCATTTAATAAATAGTCCATAATTAACTCAACAGCCTCAGTAGACGACCTGCAGTCTCTGTGTGTGTGTGTGTGTTCTGAGTGTGTGTGTGTGTTCTGAGTGTGTGTGTGTGTGTGTTCTGAGTGTGTGTGTGTGTGTGTTCTGAGTGTGTGTGTGTGTTCTGAGTGTGTGTGTGTGTGTGTTCTGAGTGTGTGTGTGTGTTCTGAGTGTGTGTGTGTGTGTGTTCTGAGTGTGTGTGTGTGTGTTCTGAGTGTGTGTATGTGTGTGTGATCTGAGTGTGTGTGTATGTGTGTGTGTTCTGAGTGTGTGTATGTGTGTGTGATCTGAGTGTGTGTGTATGTGTGTGTGTTCTCCCTCTTAACTCAACAGCCTCCCGTAGACAACCTGCAGTCTCTGTGTCTGTGTGTGTGTGTGTGTTCTGAGTGTGTGTGTGTGTTCTGAGTGTGTGTGTGTGTGTTCTGAGTGTGTGTACGTGTGTTCTGTGTGTGTGTGTGTGTTCTGAGTGTGTGTGTGTGTGTTCTGAGTGTGTGTGTGTGTGTGTTCTGAGTGTGAGTGTTCTGAGTGTGTGTGTGTGTGTGTTCTGAGTGTGTGTGTGTGTGTGTGTGTTCTGAGTGTGAGTGTTCTGAGTGTGTTCTGAGTGTGTGTGTGTGTGTGTTCTGAGTGTGTGTGTGTGCTCATTGAGTGTGTGTTCTATGTGTGTGTTCTATCAGTGTGTGTGTCTGTGCGTGTGTGCTCAGTGTGTGCGTCTGTCTATGTGTGTGTGTGTATTTGTGTCTGTTCTATGTGCGTGTCTGTTTGTGTGTATATGTGTGTGCTCAGCATGTGTGTGTGTGTGTTCTGACTGTGTGTGTGTTCTGAATGTGTGCGTGTGTTTGTCCTCAGTGAGTGTGTGTCTGTGCGTCTGTCTATGTGTGTGTGTATCTGTGTGTGTTCTATGTGCGTGTCTGTTTGTGTGTACATGTGTGTGTGCGTGTGTGTGCTCAGTATGTGTGTGTGTGTTCTATGTGCGTGTCTGTTTGT